CACCAGGCCGCGGCCCGGCCCCTCCCCGGTACTCACGCTCTCCGGCCGGGCCCCCCGCAGCGGGCGGGCCTGGTGCGCGCCCCGGCCTATATACGGTGACCGGCAAGGGAGAGCGATGCCCCCGGCCGGTGCCGCCCCTGCCCGGAAACTCCGAGTGGGGCCGACGCACCGGGAAAGCCCCGGCCGGGCGTACCCGGGGCCTGACGGCGGGGAGGCCGGGCGGGGCCTCTCCTCCTCCCGCCCCTCCCTCCCGCCGGGTCGGGGGCGAGCCGCCGGCCTGTGGGCTGTGCCCAGCCTCCCCAGCCAGCGGCTTTCTATGGCGGCCGCAGGCGGGGCGAACCTTCCCTTGGGCTGCCCCTCAGCTGGGCTCCTTCGTTCCGCCCGCTCGTTCCCCGAGGGAGGGAGGAAGGGAGGGCGGCCCGGCCCCGCCGGCGCCAGCAGGGACGTTAGGTACTTTCCTTCTGGTCGGGGAAACCCGCCCGGAGATCGTGCTTCCCCCGCCGCGGCCCAGGGCGGGGATTTCCAGCCCTGCGGGCCCGGTGCCGTGCGGGGCTGGCGGGCGGGCCGGGCCGGGCCCCCCGCCAGCGGGAAAGGGAAGGGCCGGAGGGGCAGCGGCCCGGGCCCACGGCCTGGCCTGGGGACCGAGTGCTAACACCGAGGGGAGCGGGGACGGCGGCTGCAGGGCTGCGGGCTCTTGGGGCGGCGGGGATGGCAGCGCCGCTCTGGGCAGCGCTGCGCTCCCCTCAGCAACGGGCTGCAGGGACCGAGGTGCTGGAGCGGGCCCAGAGGAGGGCAGCGGAGCTGGTGAGGGGGCTGGAGAACAAGTGTTGTGAGGAGTGGCTTGAGGGAGCTGGGGGTGTTCAGCCTGGAGAAGAGGAGGCTGAGGGGAGACCTTATCACTCTGCACAACTACCTGAAAGGAGGGTGTAGAGAGGTGGGGGTCGGTCTCTTCTCCCAAGTCACAGGCGACAGGACGAGAGGAAATGGCCTCAAGTTGTGCCAGGGGAGGTTTAGGATGGATATTGGGAAACATTTCTTCAGTGAAAAGGTTATCAAGCATTGGAACAGGCTGTTCAGGGAAGTGGTGGAATTGCCACCCCTGAGGTGTTTAAAAGACAGTAGGTGTGGTGCTGAGGGACATGGGTTTCGTCGTGGTGTTTTGTCAGTGTTTGGATGATGGTTGAACTCGGTGATCTTAAAGGTCCCTTCCAACCTAGATGATTCTGTGATTGTACAGGCACAGCCCGCTCCAACAGTTCTGCTGTCCTGAGGGGGTGGTGAAGACAGGAACGTGATGCAAACCCCACAGTTTTACCTTTTCTCCTTGACACCAGTGTAAAATGAGTGCTTGGCCACATTTCCTAATATAGACAGCTCTGCAGAGTGCGAGAGGGGGCCAATGAAAGACTGCAGTCATTCGAAATCGCAGGGGAAGAACAGGAGGAAGACAAAATAGAATATAAATTTCCACCGGAGGGGTTTAAGACAGTATTGCTGCATATAGAAATCTGAAAAACTTCCGCAGCAGGTACCAGAACACTGACCAAAGCTCAGAATCTCCCAGCATAGTCATGGTCTGGCATTTCCTATAAAGAAACAGCAGGTACAAGTTTAAGAAAAAGCCCCTATTTGTGATGACAGAATGGTAGTAGGGTGTTTACACAACTGAGAACTGAAGAGTAAAAATAAAGGAAGCATGACTGAACAGAGCATTATGACACTAGTGGGTAATTTTCTGTAACAGAGTTCCAGTAAGATGAATTTGCAAGAGAGTCATTCATATCTTTTCTAAAACTGTTTCAAATTTCCTGTCATATGGGATGACATTTATCATATATAACAATACTATCTGTCAAATTTCAGACATCTAGCTGCGGTGACAGCTTGTATAGCTACGACTGCAACATCCTTTAACTTCACATAATTACAGACATAGAAACGTTTGCTGTTTCAGCAGTAGCACACAAAAAAAACAGGTTAAAAACTTCTTTAAAAGTTTAAAATGGCTATCAGATTTCTGGTGTGCCATTTTAAGGAAGCTGCTGACATGCATAAGACAAGGTTCAAAAATTGAGTCAGCTCTCCAAATACCATATCTGAAGAGCAATGGGGTGTGGGATTTAGAGTTTTATTTGACATAGGGAACTGTTTAATGGCACACAAGGAACTGAGCTCTGTGTGTGTGAACTGTACATATGTGTGTGTGTGGCTTTAATTGCAACTGCTTAAAAATTGACTTTTACAGAGCAAGCTGGAAGCGCTCCCAGTTTGGGGACATCCAGCAGGACTCCCCAGATGAAGTTACATTGAATCTGTTGTAACAGATTCATGGACTTTTTACCCTACATTCATCCAAGGTAGATTAATCCAGTGTTCCTCCTTAACTCCCCGCAGCCTGCATCCCTCCCTTGTGCCACTCCACCCCCAGCCTGTATCTGCCCTTTACCCCTCTGTACCCTTCCCTCTCCTTCCAATCTGGCAATAGAAACTGCTGTTTCCTCCCCTCCCAGGCCTCAGGGTGAGCAGTTTCAGGCTCTCCCTTTCTGCTTGGCAAGCCTCACGTCGAAATGAGGAGGAAGGGAGGAGGAGGAACAAAAAAGGAGACTAAAATGTTTGTAATAGCGGAAAAAGAGGTGTAGCTGCCCTGAGCTGCCAGGCTTCTTCTACTGTCTTTGTCTCTGGGAGTATAGTAGCAGCTCCCCCAGTTCTCCATCCCCAGCAATTCCTTTGCTTTTCAGAGAAAGAGATAAGAGGGAACTTTCCCCACCTACTTAGCTGCAATTATGGATAGGCCTTTCCCCAAAGGACATGATGTAAAACCATAACTAAAGGTTTCTTCTCAGGGCTGAAATTCCTGAAGAATTGTCATCAGCGTCCTGAGTCTGGCTTCAACCTGGGACCAAGGTAACTCTCCAGACACAGAGAGAGAGGGGAACAGGGGTGCTCAGGTCCTACCCAGGCTAAATGCAGGCTTTGGCTTTGGTTCTCAGGCTGTGGCACATCACAGTGGGACTGATCCTTAATTCCAGCCCTTTCACCTGCTGCAGGAAGCTTCCAAGATTACAGTCTTCACTTTAAAAACAGTAGGATTGCTAAACTGAAACAAGGCACTCGATTTTGCAGACTCTTGGCTCTGGAGAGGGGGGAAGAAGGCTGTATTCAGATAAAGCTGTCCTCAACCAAGAGAAACTGTTTACTTAAGGAGTCCCACCTAACCATAGAGGTCTAAGTGCTACTAAAAGCGTGGTTTTTATATGTTTATGACAATACACCTAAGGGCAGTGTTGACTGAAACAACAAAGGCGATTCAGCAAATTTCTGGAGGCAGAAGGCTGTGACCCTGCAGCATCAATGCCAACATGAAGGAGCACCGACAGCCCCTGGAGTACCTGATGTAACCACGTGTCCAGAATTCTTCTCCCAGAGGCCTGATGAATGGCAGTCTCCCCATGCTGTCATCCTTCTCTGATGACTTCTCCAGTTTACTGTCTTCCATTGCATTAAAACATCTGGCTTTAATAGCACCTCTGTAATACATCCCTCAACATCTGTGAAGAGGAGCAAGGGATAAAAGGCACTGTTTCTTGCCTTTCCATTGCTACTGCTCCTTTCTCCCATAAATTACAGAAAAAATACCATTACCTAGCTTCTCACTACCATAAGTGACTGTCAGAATGTCTCGGTAGGATTTCAGCCTTACCAATTACACACGCACAACCTTAACAACCTGACACACGCAAATATTAACCATGGGTTTTATCTGACATGTCTTCTGGAGATCCAATCAGCTCAAAGTAGCAAATTCATCATGTCAGTGCCACCGAGGATAAGATAAAACATAATCTGCAGTTTCAGTAATACTGTTCTGATCTTTAATTCTAGCCAAGAATATAACCCGTAGTTGCTATTTTGTCTCAGGGCCAAGTGTTCAGTTAGGTGAAGAAAAAGTACTGCCTAGAACATTAAATATATTACTTTGACTGTATCTATAGCCTGCCTGGTTGTTGATATATAGAAATAACAGAAACTTTCTTAATTCCAAGCTTGTAGGAGTGAGAAACATGGCATTTCTCCAGGGCCTCACAAGGCTTCATCAGGGGGCCACACAACTCGGCGAGTGAACTGAGGGATGGAAGGAGATGCCTGTACCCCCTCTTCCACAAATCTAAACCTACCTATAAAACCTGTATTAAAAAATAAAACCTGCTATTGCTGCCTGGTGCCCACATATTTCAGCTTCCCAAGGGTATCAAATGCTTCCATGGAATATGATTTACTTGTTTTGAACTTCGGAGCATTAGCTTCATTGCAAGCATCACCTCCCTTTAGTAAGGGAGGAAGATCTAATCTGTTGAACTGATTTAAGATGATAATTAGCATCCCACAAAAAAACCTACTGACCGAATTTTCTTTGAAAGATATGGCATATCAACTCCTTCACGACATAAGAGGAGGATAATAATGAGAGAAATAGGAAAAAAATACATATTAAGAAAAAAATAGGAAAAAACCAACTTGAGATAGTGACACTTTATCTACAGTTAATATTTTCTATCTATATTTCATTTACAAATTAAGCCAAGTCCCAAGGGCAGAGTAGCTCTGACATCCTGTAAACATGAGATCAGACAACTATGTTTTGGTAATCTGGGTGGATGCAAACTGCCCACTTTATTTTGACTAAACACAGCAACAGGGCACCTTTCTTTGACCAGCAATAACTATTAACTTTTTTTCTCTTTTTTTCAAATGAGACTTTTAATTGCATTTGGGCATATAGCAAAAAAATGGTTAAAAAGCTCACAAGGGACAAATATCATACCTAGACACGAAGGGCATCCATGACTCATTGTAATAACCTCAAATGTTTAAGAAGAAAACCCCCAAACCCAGAGCATACATCTTGCTGCTCCCTTACTGAAGGTCAGTACATTCACAATCTGGAAAGTTTCCATTCCCTTTGCACCCAGACAGTTTTGTTTTCCACATCCTCCTACACAAAGGATCACCAGTACAAATGTTAAAGTGTACCTAAATCAGTTACAGGTTTTCTTTTCTCACATTTAGTGCTCAGATAAATTCTCCCATAAGCCATAAATAGCCTCGAGAACATACCAAAGCCACACTGAACAAGTTGAGGCTTTTAAATCAATCAGAAGTTCTCCTTCATTGTTATTTACTTGGAGGATAAAAAAGAGTTGGAATGAGTTGGAGGAAGATCTCAGTAAATGTTGAGTTCAATTCCCTCTTTAGATTTGAGAATCTGCTCACTTTTCAGTTTTATTCTCTGCTTCTAGGAAGACAGTTTTGTTCTCCTGGTGATATAATAAACATTACATTCAGCAGGAGATAGGAATACGAAGAATGCCAAAACAGAGATGACTGGACTGAAATAAGCTATATTTAGGTGGGAAGAGGACCACCTATATATTAAGGAAATCAAAAGGCTGTGCTATTCAGCTGCGTCAAATTGTGTAAATTCAGAGCTCCACATTCCTGGGTCTTCCAAGAGTTGTCTTTCTAAACAGCAGGTTGTCTACTTTGACTCCAAGTTTTCACTGAATTTCACTGAATTTCACTGAATTTCTAGAGTTGGAAGGGACCATAGAGATCATCTAGTCCAACTCCCCTGCTGAAGCAGGATTGCCTAGAGCTAGAGCATGTTACTCAGGACTGCATCCAGGCGGGTTTTGAAAATCTCCAAAGAAGGGGACTTCACAACCTCCCTGGGCAGCCTGTTCCAGGGTTCCGTCACCCTCACCGTGAAGAAGTTTCTCCTCATATTTGAGTGGAACCTCTTATGTTCCAACTTGTGCCCGTTGCCCCTCGTCCTCTCGGTGGGAACCACTGAAAAGAGTCTGGCTCCCTCCTCCTTCAACCCTCCCTTGAGATACTTGTAGGCGTTGATAAGGTCTCCCCTCAGCCTTCTCTTCTCCAGACTAAAGAGTCCCAGCTCTCTCAGTCTCTCCTCATAAGGGAGATGCTCCAATCCTTGAATCATCTTTGTAGCCCTACGCTGGACTCTTTCTAGTAGTTCCCTGTCCCTCTTGAACTGGGGAGCCCAGAACTGGACACAGTACTCCAGTTGTGGCCTCACCAGTGCAGAGTAGAGGGGGAGAATGACTTCCCTTGACCTGCTGGCTACACTCTTCCCTATACAACCCAAGATACCATTGGCCTTCCTGGCCGCAAGAGCACACTGTTTACTCATTGTCATTTTACTGTCCACCAGGACCCCTAGATCTTTCTCTTCAGTAGTTGCCTCTAGCAGGTCCACCCCTAACCTATACTGGTACATGACATTTTTCTTCCCTAGGTGCAGGACCCTACACTTTTCCCTGTTGAACCTCATGAGGTTCTTCTTTGCCCAGCCTCAACATCCAGCCCTCTAGCCTGTCCAAGTCTCGCTGGATGGCAGCACAGCCCTCCGGGGTGTCAGCCACTCCTCCCAGTTTGGTATCATCAGCAAACTTGCTGAGGATACACTCTGTCCCCTCGTCCAGGTCACTGATGAATATATTAAACAGCACGGGTCCAAGTATTGACCCCTGGGGGACTCCACTGGTTACAGGCTTCCAACTTGAACCTGCTCCATTAATAATTACCCTTTGGGTCCTGTCACACAGCCAGTTCTCAATCCACCTCACTGTTACTTCCTGCTGTCATAGTAAGAAAATTTCTCTAGATCTTATTTCCCCCGTTTACTCCCCATCATCTCTCTGCAAACTTCAGATCCTTCCTCAGGCATTTGATTTGCGGTAGTTGACCCAGCTGTTGCTGTTCACGTTCTTGAGGAATCTTTTCTGTCAATCCTCCTTCGACTGAAAAGCGACTTGGACGTGGCACTGTTTGATTTCCTGAGGATTACACTGGAGGTTTCCTACTAAGGCTCCTGCTAGGTTCAGGAGGATACAAATGGTGTGTGAATCACGCTACATGTGGCTGCATCGCACTTTACCCAGAAACTGGGTCACTGCCGTGATGGAGCGTTCCGTTCACAAGGCCAGCTGCCTCAGGAACTAGATCATCCATTCAGAGGTTACAGATGGAAGGTGCAGCTTCCCCAGTATCTACATCATGGGTTCAAATGACACATAAGCACGTGGGAATGCACTGACTTTCAAAAACCCGCGTGCAAAGAGGAGCTTCAGTCACATGCAAAATACGGCCCTAATTGTGGAAGCAAAACCAGCAATCTGAGCTGGGCCCCAGTTCCCAGCGCAGCTAACGGGGAACCGGGCTGCGGTTTGCAGCAAAACCAAAGATACAAAAACCCCTGTGCACACACTGAAGAAGCCATAAATCAGCTCTGCCTGAACAATGATGGCACAAACGTTTGCAGCAAGGCACAGGATTCGATGACAGGAGCGGGGGCTGCTTAGGGTAATCCTGCTGCCAAATGGTAGTAAAACTGCAGCCCGGGAGAAGCTGGGTTTCTCCTTTTTGTATTCTGTTGCACAATACTGTGCTTCTTAAGGATATTTTGAGAAATAAGAGGAATCAGAGCTGTACTGAGAACCCTTTGTCTTTTTAGTACTTACAGGAGTAAGTAAATGAAACGTAATCCAACAGGCACTACTGGGAAAAAAAGAAAAAAAAGTTAAATTTGTAATATTTTCAAGAAAGTCTATTAGAAGGGAAAACACAATGAAAACAGGAAGAAGGGTGATGAGCCTTTGATAAGCAGTTAAGCTAGTATGTTTTGTCTCACAGCTACAAACTGAATATTAACCCACATACCAATACCCATTGAATATGCATAAATTGGGGGGGGGAGATAACAGGTGCTAATTGAGTAAATATAAATAGCTATTTAGTGAAAAGGTTAGAAGACTGGGTTTCCAACGGCTGGAGTTTGCTGTCAAATTTTGACAAATTTGCTGTTAAATCAAACACTAGAAAAGTTACAGGGTAGAGTAGACAGACAGATACATTCTTATACAAAAAATGATTGCATAAACGAGATGCCAAAATCAGGCTAAAAACCACACTAGATGTCCTGCTGAATAACTCTCTTCCTTTTTTTTTTTCAGTAGAGTAGGAAGGAAAATTGCTCCATTCCTGGTGCACTCATTCAGAAGGACCACCTCAGACTCAGAAAACAAAGAACATACTGACAGGGCTTAATTTAACATCAACCAGTGGCTGCACTGACCTAAAAATCCCATTTATCCCAGTACCAGCCAGTACCAGAGATCCCAGGTAGCAGATAATCTGTTTATGCAACAGAAGTCACCTGGACCTCTAATACAGTAATCTGGACCTATTATCTGCAGATCAATGTCACTAATTGTGATAATCCAAAAAGTCACTCAATTCTTATTTTATGAACAAAGGGGATTTTGGAAAAAAAAAAAAAAAAAAAAAAAAAAAGAAAAAATAGAAACATTGTTGGGCCAGAAATTCAGAGTGCCAGTGAGTGCTGCTGGCCGGGGGAGTGGGAGGTAGATGTCATTGTGCCACGGTGCTGCTGAGACAGAGGGTAGAGCAGCCTTGGAAGAGCAAGGATTCTTTGTTTCTGTGTTGAGTAATTTCAGCAGACACCGACCATTTTCAGCTGGGAAAGGACTGTCTTAAAGATCATTGGGATCAAAAGATGTGAGGAGAAGGGGAAAAGTAAGATTCTTCTGTCCTTCCATTATGTGATATTAAAGAAACAAAATAAAACATCCCGTTGCTAGCACACAAAAGCAATTTTCAACAAATAGGAAAACCTGGTAAAGTATGCTTGCACAGCATCTGGAAAATGAAGTCCCACCCTCTGAGGCTTTAAGAAGTCATTACTTTAGAAAACATTACCGTTGTATGTAGACAGGAAGATGGATTTTACTCTGCTCTGAGAGTAAGGCACTTATTCAAAAAAGACAAGACCACAATTTCTGAGATTCAAGGTGCTGTGCTCTCTTCAGGATCTGGTAATAGTGGAGATTAAATTGCCTTCTAAGGGCTGGCACAGAAGTCCATGTGTATCAAATGTTTTGAAGCCTTCAGCACACAGCATCATTTCCAGCACCACCTGCACATTGAGAAGTACAAATGAATCTGAATGGGTCTGAATAACGTCTTAGGGGTTGATACTGGCTTTCTTGCCACTCCCTATGACTTCCTTAGTTATATTTTAGAGAAAGTTAACTTTTATCCTGTCTCAAAGCTCTTCCTAGTACCGTTTTGAATAGACATCTAACCAGGAAGCTGGTTTGTGTCTGAGCTTTGTCAAACACACGCTGTAGGTCTCCAGAACGCAGTCTCCTTCACTTGGCCGCTCAGTTATAAACATAAAATAAGCTACCGTGAGAACGTAGCCAAAATTAAGCAGGTTATCTTCCTCTGAAAGCATATACAACAGTTTGGCACTGGCCCAGGTCTGTAGGAGTTTCTCTGTTTTCTGTGGGTCTGTTTTTCTTACTTGGAAACAATAGCTGTATTCATGCCTGGGCAGTTCATGAGGTTACCGCTTCTGAAGCTGCATTTCTCAGTATGCAGCAGTCCCTACAGAAGATGCAGCATACTTCAGACCTTAGCACAATCAGTGTTACCACAGTGATTTCCCTTCTGCTGCCTCCTATGGAGTAATTAAAAAATTAATATGTTTTGAAGTAGAACACTGCATGTGCGTACGAAGCTGCTCAATCCTGCATCCAAACATGTAGACCTACGGGCCAAGGCTTTGTGGATTGAAATACATACACATTGTGAGTGCTGTGCTTTTGTTTCTGGCCTTTCAAATCTCTCTTTCCCCCTCCAGTCAGTTCCTTTCTAGCCAGTGCTAATCTTCTGCACACAGAAAATAAGCACGTTTATGCAACATCCTGTTTTTCAAGCGTTGTTTTGTCCCTTTAGTTATTATACACAAGTAAGTCTTCAGCGGACAAGTTGTCAGCTACATCATTTGCAAGTTGTCAGCCCTCCCACATTACAGTATATTTGCCCAGCCCCAGCCAGAAGGACTATGGCTTTTTCATAGATAAAGATAAGCTCTACAAAATTCATTGTAAACCAATTTCTTCTGTTCAATAAATATCAGAACAGAAGGCAAGCCTCTGCAAAGCAGTGTGTGTTTGTCTTCTGTAATATAACACTGTGACAGGCACTGTGGAAGGCTGCAGAAGGCAGGCACGCTACAGCAGCTCTGGAAACAAAAAGAGCTGCTGACCAGCAAAACTCTTAGGAAACACCAAAAAAAGGGTGCAGAATTTGAATGTCAGGCAAGAGAAGGACAAAGGTTACAGTGATGCAATTAGCAAGAGACAATCATCTAGTAAAATGCAGAAGAGCTGTAGGATAGAGATATTTATCTGGGTTGGTCAGTCTTTATAGTCAAATGAAAAGAAAAAGGTGCTTTTAGGCTGTGTTTTTTATTAAATCCTGAAGCAGACATTTAAAATGCATTCACCACCCTGAAGTGTCTTTTTCTCTCTGTTAATTTTATAAGGGAGTGAGTGTTAAGTTGCTGACGAGCCTGTTCCAAGGCTCTTAGGACAGATAACAGAAAACAAATCTGGTTCTAATCTTATGTTTCTGTAGCATCATGGGAGGCTAATGCAACTAAAACCAGTGGGTGAGGTAAAGTGGTAAATAAGTCTATGGTTTCTCCAGATCTACATGCTTTTGAGTGCGTGGTTTCTGTACCAAAGACAGGAGCCCAACAGTGGTTCCCACAAACCAGACCTGTGGGCTGGCTGGGGCACATTGCTGCCGGTCCTAGGAGCAGCAGAAGGTACAAGAAGTTCTACAGCAGGAAGTTATGGGTCAACACAGCAGTTAAATATGTTTGTCTTTTTGTTTCTGTCCATTTTCACTTTTGTTTCATCGAGGACAGGATTCGGTAGAACTGCAGAGAAATGAAACTGAAACGTTCTCTTCTGGGGCAGGGGATCAGAACCCATAAGCTTGTTTGTTGTTTGGTTTTTTTTTTAATATACTACTTTTGGGTGTTTTTTTTTTTTTTTAGGAGATAATCACAGAATCACAGAATGATATGGGGTTGGAAGGGACCCCTGGAGATCATCTGGTCCAACCCCCCTGCCAAAGCAGGTCCACCTAGAGCAGGTTGCACAGGAACGTGTCCAGGTAGGTTTTGAATGTTTCCAGAGAAGGAGACTCCACCACCTCCCTGGGCAGCCTGTTCCAGTGCTCTATCACCCTTAAAGAAATTCCTCCTCATGTTTAGATGGAACTTCTTATGTTCAAGTTTGTGCCCATTTCCTCTTGTCCTGTCCCTGGGCACTACTAAAAAAATACCTGCCCCATCCCCTTGACACCCTTCCTTTAAGTATTTATAAGCGTTGATCAGATCCCCCCTCAGTCTTCTCTAGACTAAAAATACCCAAGTCCTTCAGTCCTTCCTCATAAGGGAGATGCTCCAGGCCCCTAATCATCTTTGTAGCCCTCTGCTGTACCCTCTCCAGCAGATTCCCATCCTTCTTGAACTGGGGAGCCCAGAACTGGACACAATACTCCAGATGGGGCCTTACCAGGGCAGAGTAGAGGGGCAGCATGACCTCCCTCGACCTGCTGGCCACACTCTTCCTGATACACCCCAGGATGCCATTGACCTTCTTGGCCACAAGGGCACATTGTTGGTTCATAATAAGGAAAGGGTCATTGTTTTACTGGAATAATTACACAGAATGAGCTACGGCAATAACATATTCCTAGCAGGATACTAAAAACTACCTGTAGATGACCATTTGGCAGGCCTCAGCTCATAAAACACCAGCCCAGAAGGCCCAGGCTGGGTGGCCACATGCACTGGTCCCAAAGAGCCCCTTCTCACCTTGTCTTGGGTTGGGCTGCTCCTCCCTGTGCCTCAGGACACTGCTGTCCCCACTGCCACTTCTGAGCAGGAAAATCCAGGTACCCACAGGTCATGAGAGCTGCATCTCATACATTAGCAGCAGTTCTGCCATCTCGTCTTCATCCTGTATGTCCAACAAGTAAAATGCAGAAGGTGCCTGCTGTTTGGGCAGCCAGACAGGGTGAGAGGGCATGGTGAGAAACTGCTCTCTGGGAGGGTGGTCCTGCAGAAGAGCACAACAGTGTGTTTCACACATCAGGGTTGTGGAAAGCTGAGCAGTCTACGGGTGGGTTCAGACACGTAGAGACTTTTAACTTTTGACACACTTACGAAGTGCCAAATTTCACAAGACAAGTAGTCAAGCTAATCAAAATGATCTGGCTGTTCCCACCAAGGGCTGTGTTTCCAGAGGATGATCTATCCCGCAGCGCGACAGTGGGGTTTTATTGCCAAAGAGGCTTCAGTGGAGTCCTTAGTGAGGTTTCAGATTGCTTTCTGGGGAGCGTGCTTTCCGGGGGTTGGGCCAGGAAATTTGGCAGGATTCCCCTCAGAGTTTGTGGGAATCATCTTTGAAGCTGAAGGGATGTGAGAGCTCATGGAACTGAAGATGGATCTCCCCAGCCTGCGGAGCCAAGGACTCAGAGGAGGGAGACACACCGCCGCTGCAGAACCAGAGTGTTTCTGTGGTGAACATTTGCTTTTCCAGCAGACCTGTATCAAGCAGGGGAAGTTATGGGGGCTCTTTTTTGACTCACAGCACAAGAGAAGCCAGGGTTCGAGTGAATTCGTATTTCCTGGGAAGCCTGTGAACTGGAAGAAGTCCATCCCTGGCAGAGCACAGGCACTGCCTGACTCAGTGTCACTCACACCATCAAGCATGGTACCAGCACAGAGGACATCCTGGTCACGTCCCTGGCACGCAGCCACACTCCTGGAGCCTGAGTCAGGCTCTTCACAGAGAATTTAAATGGTTAAAAGGTCCACCTGCATCAGCAAGTCATAAACTATGAATTAGTCCATAAACTCGCAGTACTGTTTCTAGTCACAGGAAGTTAGTAAGCTAAAAACTGGTAGGAAGAGGGAGAACAAAGTGGAGCATTGTCTGCAAGGATGTAACCACCTGTTTGCTTCTGATTGCTGAGAATGCCTGGAGTTTTCTCATAAAACCAGAGTTCAGAGGTGCTATTGCGATGGCCTGCACAGAGTTATGTTACAAGAATCAATATAACAGATGTAATCACATCACATGCTATTGTATCGGGTTTGCTTGGCAAGGTTATGGTAGCAGGGGCACTAAGGGGTATTTTCTGTGAGAAGCTGCCAGAGCTTCCCCCATGTCCAATGGAGCCAATGCCACCCGGCTCCAACATGGACCCCACCGCTGGCCAACTCCGAACCCATCAGTGACAGTGGTAGCACCTCTGGAAAAACGTAGTTAAGAAGGGGCAAAAGTTGCTGCACAACCAGGCAACTGCAGCTGGGGAGAGGAGTGAGAATATGTGAGAGACACAACTCTGCAGACAGCAAGGTCAGTTAAGAAGGAAGGGGAGGAGGTGCCCCAGGCACCAGAGCAGAGATTCCCCTGCAGAATCACAGAATCTTCTAAGTTGGAAGGGACCTCAAAGATCATCTTGTCCAACCGTCAACCTAGCTGGCAAAAATAGACACCCACACAACAAACAAGAAGCATCACCATCACTAAACCATACCTCCCAGCACTACATCAACCTGTCTTTTGAACCCCTCCAGGGATGGTGCCTCACCCACCTCCCTGGGCAGCCCATTCCAATGTCTGATGACCCTTTCAGTGAAAAAATGTTTCCTAATATCCAGCCTGAACCTCCCCTGGCGTAACTTGAGGCCATTTCCTCTCGTCCTGTCACCTGTGACTTGGGAGAAGAGACCGACCCTCACCTCTCTATAACCTACTTGCAGGTAGTTGTAGAGAGCGATAAGGTCTCCCCTCAGCAGAGCAGAGATTCCCCTGCAGTCCATGGTGAAGCCTGTGGTGAGGCAGGCTGTTCCACAGTAGCCCATGGAGGTCCATGGTGGAGGAGATATCCACCTGCCGCCCATGGAGGATCCCACACCGGAGCAGGTGGATGCCCAAAGGAGGCTGTGACCCCATGGAGAGCCTGCACTGGAGCACATTCCTGCTAGGACCTGTGGACCCATGGAGAGAGGAGCCCACACTGGAACAGGTTTGGTGGCAGGACTTGTGATCCTGTGGGGGACCCATGCTGGAGCAGTTTGTGAAGAATTGCAGCCCATGGGAAGGACTGACATTGGAGAAGTTCATGGAGGAATGTCTCCCATGGGAGGGACCCCATACTGGAGCAGGGAAAGAGTGTGAGGAGTCCTCCCCCTGAGGAGGAAGGAGCAGCAAATAAAACTTGTGATGCACTGACCACAACCCCCATTCCCCATCCCCCTGCGCTGCTCGGGGGAGGAGGTGGAGAAAATCAGGAGTGAAGTTGAGCCTGGGAAGAAGGAACAGGGTTTGGGGCAGAGGGAAGGTGTTTTAAGATTTAGGTTTTTTATTTCTCATTATGCTACTCTGATTTGATTGGTAACAAATTCCCCAAGTCAAATGTGTTTTGCCCATAACATTAATTGGTGAGTGATCCCTCCCTGTCCTTATCTCGAGCCACCAGCCTTTTGCTATATTTCCCGCCCGCCTCGTCCAAGTGAGGAGGGAGTGACAGAGCAGCTTTGGTGGGCACCTGGCATCCAGCCAGGGTCAACCCACCACAGCTATGTAGCTTTTTCTCACTGACTTTAACGTCAGACAGACTGAGCCATTTGCCATTTTATGAGTGTTTACTCTGAGAATTAGGGTTAGGAAACATTTCTGGCTGCTCAAATCCTGATCCTTCTTACTCTGTGCAGCTCCACACCGGCTCTGTGCTGGATGTTGAGGCTCGGGTTCATCTCACCTCCCTCTAAATACCCAGAGACAGCACACAAGTCAATTCAGGTTTTGGGCAGGCTGAATTCCTCACTGGGGGAGAAGCCTGGACGCAGCCCTGGCATTCAGGTAAAATGAAATGCTCAACCTGTCACTCCATAGACCCATTCAATCATCCCTGCATCCCTGCATCCCTTCTCCGAGCTGACCCCTGGCCAGTTACTCCCCCTGGAAAAGGGGAGAGACCTTCTAATAGCCTGTCTGGCGTTGGAGGTGCTTTCATGGCATCCCAATCACACAGCCCTGTCCAGTGGGACATCTCCTTTAATGACACACACAGGTTTAAAATTAATTGTATCCAAAGAGTGTTATGTGTCACAGATTAACCTTTGGGTTTTTTCACCCATCTTTTTCTTATCAGTTGATTAACAGAAAAAAAATGGTTTTTCCCTCAAACTCAGTCAGCTGTTTTTGAAAACAAAAATTGTTTCATTGACAAAACTTGAAATCGCCCCATTCACTTTTTCTCTAAAATCATCACCGAATCTCAAATTAATTAAATGATAATCAGCATTAGGAAAAAAAGATCAGATCGTGGGTTTGCTAATCTCTTCCTATGTAATTAGGCATGACGAGCCTTTTGTGTTGCTTATCTCTATTCCATTGGAATCACCAGGGTATGAAGCAGCGACCCAGGGAGCTAATTAGGCTTCCTGGCTATTGGAGTTGCAGAGGCAGTTGTGATGAACATCCCAGACGAGCGCAGACACTCTCTGCCTGACACGGGAAGTGAGAAAATGCCAAAAAAGGGACTGTGTTGTTTTAGCGCCACCGAGTGGACAAATAGGGAAACAAAAGTTCACTTTTGAGACTGGGTACATGGGTGTTCTGGGCAGGCACTGGCATTTTCAGGGCTGGAGCCCTGAGCAGTGCCCACCCTCACCCATGTTCTTCTTTTCTTCTTCTTATCAACAAGTGTCTTGGGAAGCTTCCATACCCCTTGTCATCAAATCAGGCTTTTTTGTTACACTGCATGTGGTGCCGGAGCCTGGAAAGTCACTCCAGAAAACATCAGAAGTGTAAATATAAATATAGTATCCGTAATAAATAGAACTGTAACACAAAAGCAAACGAATTCTGTAATTTGTAATACAGAATTTCAGTTGCTTCAGAAATAGCTCAGACACTTCTCAGTATTTTCTACCAGTTCTGTGCCTCCCTTGAAATCAGTGCCCCGTTAGGTAAATGAGTGGGTCGTTCCCTAAATCACAGCAAAAAAACCCTTAATGTAATGTTTCAAAGTGTTCCCTATACCCCAACTGTTCTGTGGGGCTTTGGCCAGTAACTCTTGTGGGTGGCTGGACTTGGACGGCTTTTAATGCCATTCACAGAAGATATATGAAGACATGTAGCAGCTGTAGCTGCTTTCCCCTGGCACCAGATAAGATAGCGTGCTGAATTAGATAAAAGTGCACTCACCTCCCACCTATATTCTCTATACTTCACTGGCATACTTCTGCCTAAAGCTGTGGCCAGCTCTGTCTCCTGTGACTTATCTGTTATGGGTCTATTATTTGGATTACACTACAGCCTAGAGAGCCCTTTGTGCTACTCCACCAATGCACACGCCGTCTCCTGTCTCTGTACAGAAGCTCTTGCCATCGGTCGAGATAAGACAGGGAGAAAACAGCAGCACGGGCTGCTTTCAGAGGAGCTCGACAGCAGGACCACTGCCATGGCCTGCATGGTGCTAAGGGTCTCGGTGTCCTCCCACACTGAGCTGTTGGAAAGCAGAGATGGCTCCTATCCAAGAGGAGATCTGCATGTTGGTGAAGGAGACCAAGACAAGGAGAAGCAACACTCCTGAAATACATGCTATGAAAGGTTAACACTTGGGTGACTGATGAGTACCCTTTGGGGTAACCTGACTGCACCTCTGCAGCCAACAACTCTCCTGGAAGCCGCACAGGGCAGACTGTGCACACCCTTTCTGCAAATATCACGTTTAATGGCGTGGCTGCTGCTTGCTTATCACATACAGCCTGCTTAAAATAGAAGCACCTGAGAGACAGCTGACGTCTCAGGGCCTCTCAGCTTTGAATGAAGGAGAAAAAAAAACCCTTCAGAGATTCAAAGGCTACAAATTCTAGTTATTGCTAACCTTTGTCGCATACTTCTTCTCCTTCATCCCACCCACACACCTCTGAGGTTCAAGTAAATTCCCAGAACCAGGTCTGAGAGTTGATTTCTCAGCTGTTTATGAGACATCAGAGCACTTAAGTCCAAAGTAATGCAGCCAAAGACAACTAGTCATGGGTGTAAAGAAAGCAAGGAGGAATCTGAGTACTGACTACTATTTAACCGCTTGTTAAGCTGGTTTAGTGGAGGAAAATCCACCTCTTACCTACCTGCTACTCTCCCACACCAGAGGAAGTATTCATATCTTCAGCCCCAGCACTCTATAATCCTTGGCTGCTGGATAGTCCAAGCACGTATAGGAAGATCAGCAAATCATGGTGGCATTCCAAGTAATCTATAACCCAGACATGTTGGTCGCACTCTAACTTTTCGGAGTAAGGAGGGGATTTCCCAGCAGGTCTTCAACATCCTGGGCATATGGGCTGTGCAGCAGGCACAGGTCAGGTGGGCCAGTGGGATGGCCCAGATGCCAGGGCTGGGTCACCTTCTTCAGCTGATGGCACCAATTTGCAGTCACAGGAGCACAGCTTCTTACTTGCTTGTGGGCGCTGCGCAACTTGGGACTGGAGACCTGAACACCTGGGGACACAGAAGTCACTAAAATTCAGCAGGGATATGGAACAAGTGTGTTAGACCCCATGCAATATGCCCTATCATGACACCATCAACCACCTTCTCTCTTCTAAAATAAGCTTGAGCCTTTCTTCTAGGAAATAAATGAATTGCAAAGACAGCTGGGCTCAAGGGAAGCCTCTGGGCTACGGACCCTCAGTAAAGCAAGGCAATGAAAACCTCGAAAGGCAAAATTTTAATCTATGCTTGTACCTAGAACTTCCTGCTGGTTCATTCCAAGTAGCTTCCCACAACACAGCCTGGTATCAGGTGGCTCTTCTCTGCATGTTGGATCCTTTTGACATCATCTGAGTCCTCCTAAACGTTGCATGCAGGGAAGGTGGGTGCCTAACACCGAGTCCAGCTTCCATTCCACATGGGAAGCTCCTTAATGTCTAGCTTTGTAATGTTCAGTTTGTAAGCACATGAATCATCTTTACATCTGGTTCTCACCATCCAGGAGATCTATTGCTGAGCTTGTTTAGAAAGTATGTTTGATCTCGGTTCTGGCTGGAGCAGAGCATCTGCATTTTGTCTCTCCTCATTCTGTCTTGCCCAGGTTGTGTACCACCTTTCCCTGTAAACAAACCTGCTCCTGCCTGGTTCATTCAGCAGTTTCACAAGCCGGCATCCGTGACCTTGCAATTCCCAGGCCTCCCTTGGAAGAAGGCTGATTAAAGGAGAGCTTGTACAACCCCACAGCTGTCCCGGTACCTCACAGTAACGGGAAAAGGGATGCAGAAACCTGGGACCACATATGCATTTGAATACAATGAAGATATTGTTCCAGCTCGCCCAGCTGTGGCAGTGACATTAAGGAAACCAAAGGGTTTGTGCTATGATTTTCATACTAGGAGTTTGCTTTAAAAAGTGCAGATACAGTATGTTGCTTGGGTCTCTCCTACCCTCTTGCCACGTGGCCAGCTCAAGCCCTCAGGCTGACTGTGCTTTGCAGAGATGTAGCAATGTGTTTTATTTTCCAGCTGAAGTTCGATGGAAATACAGCCTAGAGAGCTAAACCTGGCTGGCTCAGCAGCACTCATCGTCTCCCTGCCCCTTCCCTGCCTCTGGGGACTGGCTTGTCACCCTGTCCCCTCCTGACCCTCTCTGAGCTCAGAACCTCCCCAGGAGGCACCAATGAACAATTAACCATTCTCCTTCTGAGCTTGTTTCCCACAAGCACTGTCCAATAATTGGGTAACAGAAAACAAACATGGAAAGGAAATAGGATGAGACCCAGCCAACAGCTCCCACACCCCACGTGCATCACATCATCCCACCACACCACAGCCCTCTAATCCACGGTACCACCTATGCTCTCATCCGCAGTACCACCGACCAGACCACCTGGATCACATGCACCTTCTCCAGAAGGCAGTGAATGAAGAAACCAGGAAGATAAAGCATGTAAAGAGAGTTTTGAATCATAAAACGCATAAAGAAAGAAAAAAGTGAATTTCCTGCAATTCTGTCTCAGTTGCTTTTCCGGTGACGTCTGCAAATGTCTCCGGAGCAGGATTCACCAGCTGTGCGGAAGCAAACGCCTCCTCAGCACAGTGTGCTCCTTTGCTCCAAGTTAGTGGGAAAAGAGATTTTCACTAATAGAAAACACAGGTAATTGCATTGATTAGTAGATTGTAAATTAGTTTAACAGCATATTATGTAAATGAGCCTACTATTGAGATCTAATAGACTATTTTCAAAACAGATGTTCCTTTTTAAGTCTGCAGCTGGTGGAACAGTTGTCATCCCAGAGAGGAAAAGGTTTTCCTGTTGGGTAACAGAGGTGCCCATTAGTATGACCATGATTAAACTGCTGGTGTTACCTGGCAGTTGGGTAACTCCACATCCTCACGGGGATTCATCACCATTAAGAAGGCGCCAGCTGTTTAGGTAACATTAAGTGCTCAGAAGTTACACCCATAGTTAACCTGAAAGCATTACAGATGCAAAACCTGGGGGCTCGGTGTGTGAAGTACCTGGAGCTACCATAAAATTGTGCCTGGGTAGTGCTTTTTCAAGAAGATTACGGTCTAATTGCGTAAACATCACCCAGGGAAGTCCCACAGCCTGTGTTACGAAAGATATCAGATTAGATAACAAACCTGTCTCCTGGATTTACAGCTGTGAAACAGATGAATCCTTCCTCCAACAGGCTGGGCAGAATTTTAACCCCCTGTGAATCCAAGCGAGGGCTGTCTGAGCAAGCTGACCTGGGGATGGTTTTAGATAGTTTATCCTGAGTGGCTGGTGAGCAACATACTCTCCAAAGTATGCCACTCGTATCTTACTAGATTATTTTAAAGGTTATGTCTGGAGATTATATAAATGAGATTCAAACAGTGTCCAGAGATGGGGGTTATAAAGTTTCAATTTTTTTAGTTGGCTTTATCTGAAGCCAACGCTAGATTGTAAGTTAATACTTCTTCCTTGCTTCTTCCAGGGAGATCTTTTGCAAACCAGCAGTTTAAAAAATCATTTTAAAACAGGTACTGAGTGAAATGAAGCATCTATTAGTATCTCTGATTTGGGAATAGAATAGATTTTACTAAAGATGTCTTTTTAAGATAGAGCTAATCTAAGATGTCCCTGGTTTTGGCACATGGATTTTTTGGCTGCTTCTAATTTAAGTAACAGTTCATGATCAGGAAATATCTTTACATAAATTGTCTAGTGAAAGTCAGTATCACTAATCCTAATGTATTCAGGATCACATGCATTTATAAATTTATATCCTTTTTATCATCCTTTTTATAATCCTTTTTAAAACAAACCTCAAAGATTCTGAGTAAACCATTTCAGAGATTAATATTAGCAGAATGAGAAGAAAAGTAAGAGCAAGAGACAAGGGATCCCAGATTTGTACTGCACCAAAGCCTGACATTAGAGAGTTGATAGAAGAATACAAGAGCGCTGTTCCAGATGGCAGGAACTGCAGAGGAGGAAGAGCAGTGAGAAGCAACGAAGGGAAGTTAACGATAGATGAAGTAGGATGAGAAACAGACACTCCGAGGCATGCATCCAATTCTTCAGGTTACGTAAAATTATCTTTACCATTTATGCGCTTCCCTCCTTTTCTGGGTGATGCACATTGCAGACAGAGCTGGTAGCGCTGCTTGTAATTACCACCCCTGACAGTTCTCGTTATAAGATCCTGCTTTCGGTTGCTGGTAAGTTTGTTAGATGTTACTCATCCAGGCTGAAATGTCTTCTGCCAAGGCTTGGCCTCGGGCTGATTCTTTCGCCCTCCATTTTCTTTTAGGAGGAGGAAAGGGGAGGGCAGTTTCAGTAAAAATGGTTCTGTGGTTTTCAGGGCAAGATTAGGCAACCGTTCATTTGAGCAAGAGCTTGAAATTTGGCAAAAGAGGGGGAGGTCACCCCGATGCCAGAAGACGTAGCCAAGTTGTAAATGTGTTTTTAAAAATCTCAGCTCACGTACTTCAGCAGAGACTTGTCAGCTTGGCAGATGAATTTGCAGAGGGCTGTGTCTGGGGCACGCTGTGTCTCCTGCCCCCTTCCCAGCCCTGGTGGGACCATCCTGGCAGGCAGCAGAGCTGGACCCTGCCTGCACCCAGTGCCTGCCCCTGGGCACCCAGGCTGGAGGTGGGAGGGAGCAGGGAAGTGGGGCTGAGTTAGCAATATAAAAAGCCACTTGATTACAAACCAGTGGGAATAAAACTGTGACGGCCTACGGGACTGGAGAGGTAACTACTAGCACCCCAGCCTGAAGTGGGGTGACTGGCGGGACAAGAGGAGCAGGGTGGTCAGGAGGAGAAGGAAGGAAAAAGGAAGGGAGAGGGAAGAATAACATCTTGGTGATAGCTACCACATCCCTCCCAGAGTCCAGAGCAGAGCTAAGGTCATCCCCTTCCCCTTTTACCAGCACTTTGACTGGCACTTGCAGTTCATCCTGCTTGTGGGATTACCTGCGCTGCTGGAAAACCTGGTACTCCTGTTCCTTGGTTGGGTCCAAAGCTTCAATTCTCCAGCAGGGAGACGCATTAGCACTTGTCCTTGGTGGAGCACCTCAGCTTGGGATCAGGGCAGACTTCTCTGCCATCTGTCACGCACACTCTGCCCTGATGCTGTGGGGGAGATGAGAAGTGGGATGTGGTGCTCCACCAGAATAGCTGTCCATGCTCCCTTCCTTGCTGCTTGGCGGGAGGAAGAAAAAGCAGCTGTTGCCAGGCTGGGCTGCAGGGAGATGATAAAAAGCCCTAATACCACGTGTCTCTGCAGGTCCTGAAGCGTAACAAAGAGCAGCTATGGAGGAATAACCTGAAGAAAGGCGAGAGGCAATGGCCATTAACCGTATCCTCATTCATGTGTCCTAATGATCTTTCTTCCCCAGCCAAGTCAACAGCCAGTCTTCCCTCACACCCCCACCAGTTCCTCACCCCAATATTTTCAGTCCCCATAAAACTAAACCTCTGCCCCAGTCACGCCAACTCATCCTCATTCTGCACCTCAGCATCTTCCCAATACCATCACCCCCAGCCACCGTTATCCCTCAAGGCCTCTTAGCCCCAGCATCTTTTGAATACCCGAGCATCTTCCCAACTCAACCCCAGCAACAGCACCCCGGAGCCCTTGTAGCTCTTGCATTAACCTTGTTATTCTGTAGCCTCTGTACCCTCACGTCCCAGTCATCTCTGGTCACCACTGATCCTGCTCACCTTCAGATTGTACTGTCCAAATGACTATTTCTACAGCAGCTCCCTCACCCCTGGTGCTTCCAAGTCTCCAGGGTCTATTCCCCAGTGTAATCCTGAGCCCTTTCTCCAGCTGCTGCCTCTTCTCCATGCGAGGAGAGCTGGACGCAGAGACTCACCAGCAAAGCAGCACATTGCTTCCTTGTCTTTCCTAGGCACAGTCAACGCCGTGCCAAGGGCTGGGGTTCCTCCCAGTGGACCTTAGACACTCACATCCAGCCAAGGAAGCATCACTTTACTGATAAGTGGACACTTTTAGGGCACATTTGCTTTGGCTGCCCCAAAAGCACCATTATTTCTCTAATCACTGTAAGTGGATTAGATCAGTTTAGATACTCATTGTAAGGATTAGCTCTGTTTAGATATGTCCCTTGTTGACTTATAAAGTTTGTTGAGATGATTGTACCTCAAACAACATTGCATATTTACCCTTATTTTTTAATTCATGCTCAGTGATGATCTTTATTTTCCTTAAATCAGCACTTCAAGTTTCCAGGGGAGTGTCCTGCCTTGTGAGCTTGCCCAGCGAGGGGTGGCTCAGCAGCAGCAGCACCCTTGGCTGATTGATGCCTTCAGCACACAACAACACAGTACAATACAATACAGTACAGTACAATACAATACCACCTAGTGGTAAGAGCTTGGAGCTCAAATCCATAACACATCTGGGCTCAGAAGTGTCCCAGCTATAAGCGTTATTGAAAAGCAGGAATAAGAGAATGCTTTTTCCACCAGTTCCATCCTTGTTCCTAGAAAGTATTGTTCTCAGCTAGGCGTTGTTTAGAACACATTTAAGTGATGTCTTGTTAAGGTCAGTATGGTCCAGTTTGATCAGCTTGACCAGAATGGGTTGAAAGTTATAGAGACTGGAGAACAGAGGAGATGACAACATTACACACTGGAGAAATCCAGGATGGGCTCATGTCTGGAAATCTCTGGGCAGATTTCGCCATTGAAAATGATAGTGTAGAAATTGAAAGGTTCAAAGAAGGGCTGCAAGGGCATGGAGGTTTGGGACCAGTTTCACAAGCTACAGTTTTTCACCTCAAAAATAGAGGAGTAAGAAGATTAAATACAAATATGAAAAGGTGCAGGAAGAAAAAAACCCCTCCCTCTCTCTTCTGATAGGAAAATTGGATGACATCAAATAAAATTAACAGGGACAAGGTTCAAGGCAAGTAAGAGGGAATGGCTATTTGCACAACAGTTAATTAGGTGAAGAACTGTGTAACTCTTTGCCACATGATGTAGCGAATACTGAAATACTTACCACCCATCAGGAGAGCACTCAGGGCTTCTACGTCATATTTCCAGAGTGGTCTGTGATAGTCCTTCCATACTCTGGACTTCAAAGGCCATGAGTTGTCCTGTGCTTACAGCCTCTGCTGCTGGCCACGGCTGGCGATGGGCTACCTGCCCCAGCAGGGCTTTGCTCCGGGAAGTGCTGCTGTTCCTGGAGGGAAAATAGCGTGTTTAAGTATGAAACAAAATTCAGAGACAAAAATTCAGCATGCAAAGATATATAGATAAATATATTCTAACTATCATTTTTTTCAGTTGATCCCAAATAGTTGCTTTCAAAGTTTTAGAACAGAAAATCTAAAAATTATTTTCATTGGGCAATGAAACAAGAAGATCTGAGGTAACATCATCTTTCAAAAATTAATCTTGGCTCCAAGCTCATTTTACATAAAATAGGTTGGTTGCTCATTCACTGAATATTTTCATTATGTGCTTCTGTAGAGAAGATGATTTGTAGCCATATTTATTTGAAGACTATATTGCAATGAATAAGCATAAATAATGTATATGAGAAGCCAGGGTAGGATTGCCTGGCAGCCTTCAATCTGCCATTCCCAGGTCTCCTAGCTTGGTGATCTTAACATAGCTCTTTGTGTGGGACAAATTATAAACCAAATAATCCTGAGGTAAGGATTTTATTGCCTACACGGTACTAAATCTATTTATTTTTCAATTCCATTCAAGTCCCCAGTGTTGTCAGCATGCCAAAGCTTCAGTCAATATGATTTTTCACACTGCAAATCTTCTTTGCTTAGTTTAAAACAGAGCTGTAGCATCTCTCTTGATGAATGGAGCAGCGGTTCTTACGAAGACATGAAAAACTATTGAAACTTTTCAAGGTCTCCCGAAAATTTCCACAGGGAGATGAGGCTGTTGAGGTGCAGGGTCACTTCCAGCAACAGCTACTCTGGAGGCTGATGGAGGAACTTACCATCTCTTGCGCCTTTTTCTTTCAGTCTGGTGGTTTAATAGGTGACACGGTGCCCAACAAGAGCTGCAACGGGCATGTCACGTAGCCAAGAGCCTGAAGGCCCCTGTGCAGAAGCATCACATGAAGGCAAGGGCTCTGCCAGTTCCCCTCAGCGTGCACCTGCAGCCACACCAAGCACGGTAACTCTTCATGGTGTCTCAGCATCAACTCACCGTAATGGAGGAATATTACTTCTTAGTGCACACCACCCACCTTCCAAGGTGCTTTCAGAGGCTTTTTTTCCCCTTTATCTATGGGCTGGGAGGGGAGCAGGTCTCCTAATGCTCTCCAGCAGTTCATTCCCTCCATCTTCTTCATATACGAACCAACAACAGGAGCGAAGGAGAAAACTGAGCCCACTTCTGGGGATCCAGCAGCTGAAGATCCAATTTAAGCTGCCAGAGAGATTTCTTCTTTATTTACTACTGCAGAAAAAAATACAGTTACCAAATAATTTGGTTAATCTATTATTAAAAAAATCAATTGACCTAGAAGGCTGATGCTTTTCTTTATACCACTACAAATGACACATCCTTTAGCTGTTTCAACACTGGTGGCATGAAAGTATTAACGATTAAAAAAACCCTGAAGTGACCACATTAAATTTGTAAGTATGCACCACGAACAAAATAAAAATAGCTTAGGATACTAGAATCATTCCAAAGCAAACAAAACCTAAAAATAATGAAGATAAAGTTAAATTTAACAGAAATAAAATATATTAAGATCCGGGAAATCTTAAGCTAAAAAAATCTGCTTTGCTCTGATTCTTTAAAAAGTTATTTTGGGATCATAAACACTATTCAGATTTATACTGAGCTGGGATTTTTTTTTGATGCCTTATATAGATTTTCTTCTGTTTGTGATTCTGGCCTTTATGAATGTTTAACATTGAGCATTTATGAAGCAATTAAGCATTGAGAAATGGACATTCCCAATTGACTATTATGGCTAGATTAATTTTAGGAGGCAAAGGACTAAGGACAAAGGAAATTCCTCAGCATAAGACACAATCAGCTCAAAAGTTGAGCATAAGAGAATTTTGGTTGAATAATGAAATTTTTAAACAAACCCAAGAAACACATTTCCTTCACACCTGCTAACAATATCATTTAAGCACACAATTAAATGTAATATTTGATGCAGTTCTCTTCTGGTTTTCAAAACATCAGCAAGAAGATTTTTGGGCTGTAGACATTGGATCCATGCTGATGTATTACCTTTTCAAAACTAGTGTGGTTGTTACCAATACTCCTCTGA